CGGGCGCGCGCCCCCCGGCGGGGGGGGGGGCGGGCCCCCCCCCCCCCCCCCCCCCCCCCCCCTCTGTGACGTTTCCTTTGTTCTACGTATTCCCACAGTTCTAAGGAAGGATAGTCACCTTGACCCTAAGCATTGCCTATTTCCTCTGCAGACCTGAGGCTGCCCTCCTCAGACCTGCGACCCTGGAGGTAGAAGTCAGTCAGTACCTCATGCTGACAAGCTCTGCTCTCTGCTTTCCAGGAGTGAAAGCAGGGGTAGGGCTGTGTGCAGGCTTCTCAGCTCTGGGGTGTGTTGTCCAGTCTATCCTGAGGGTGGAGGCAGGGAGTAGGGTGTCCTCTTGAGAAATACCAACTTTCTGAAAGGTCTGAGCAGCTTCCCTACTGCAAACCTTGCAGAAAATTGCCAAGTCCCCAGCCAGATCTGAGCTGGGGAAACTGCAGTGTAAGACAGGGTAGTAGGACGGGTGGTGGGCTGTAAGAGGAGAAATACAGAGGCCCATGGTGATTTTTTGCCACCCAGACTTAGACGTGGGAACCTTGTACTCTAAAAGATCTACTTTCAAAGGAAGAGACTGAGCTGCATGATTTTGTGAGACTCAGATCTGTTGACATTGTCTAACATTGCTCAGTCCAGTGCAGTAACTTTTATTTTATTTTTGAGCCTCATCTGTAGTAAGAAATACATTTACATCTTTAACAAGTCTGTGTGTATCTATGTGTTTTTTTTTCATGAAAGATTACCTACCCTTCTTAAGTGGGATTCCTTCTTTCTATTCCTTTTTATTTGATTATAATATTACAAAACAAAAAAGTCTGGTACCTACCCTCTAAAGAGGTTTCGTTTCAAACAACCCCAAACGTTGATGCTGTCCTGATATTACTCCCATGGTCCTGGCCATTCAGCCTCTGAGGAACAGCCTGAGCTCCCTTCACTAAAGCAGTAGAAATTCATTGTCCCAAGGAACTGTGAAAGAATCAAAGGCTGCACTTAAAACCTGTCCTCTGACCAATCTTGTTTTGTAGGCTACAGGACAGTTCCAACTTCAGGGCCTGCCCCCACCTGCCCACATACAGCTTCTGGTTCAACACAGACTTAGTCTCTTTCAGGGATTTCTCATCTACGGTGTTTTGCTCTTGCTAATACTGTTCTTTCATTCTCCCTTTTATAGTTTCTCTAGGGTTGATTTTAGGAAACAGCAGCCTGAGTCTCGTATTATTTTGGAAGCTGTATGTGAGGCAGTGTATTAGCATGCTCCAGCTGCGGTAATGGAATACCACAGGCTGGGTGTCTTAATAACAAAATTTATTTTCTCAAAGTTCTAAAGGCTAGTAGCCCCAGATACAGGTGAGGGCAGGTTCAGTTTCTGGTAAGAGCTCACTTCCTGGCTTTGCATTTGGGCACCTTCTTGCTGTGTCCTCACATGGACTCTTCTCTAAATGCACAGAGAGTGATCCCTTGTGTCTCTTCCTCTTCTAATATCAGCCCTATTAGATTAGTGCCTCACCTTTTTAAAGCTTTTTTAACCTTATTAGCCTCCCTAAAGTATCTCCAAAGATAGTCACCTTGGGGATTAAGGCTTCAATATCTGAATTAGAGGTTGAGGAAATGGCACAACTCAGTATATAGCAGTCCATATTTAAATCTGTAATTAATTTTAGGAGAATGACATCTTTACAAAATTATTTTTCCCATGAATAAACATAGTGTATTCCTCTATTTGTGACTTCTTTCTCTAAGTGTATCACTAAATATTTATAGTTGCCTCCAAAAAGATTGTGTACATTTTTATTAGGTGTATTTTTGGATAAATTTTGGATATTGCTGCTGTTGTTATTGGGATATTTTCTATTAATTATCCTAATTAGTTATTGATTTTATGTGGCTAGGCTGCCAATTTTGGTAATCTTATATGCAACAGCTTTGGAGTATCTTATTCATTTGAATATTTTGTACACTGGTTCCTTTGGATTTTCCAATTAAAGATCATATTGTCACCATTTATTATCTCAATCATATCAATATTCCTTTTTCGTGTTTATTTTGCTACTCTCATTCCTGTAGTTATATATTCCCATCCACCTTTAAATAGAAGGTATGGTACCATAACATCTGTGTCTTTGTCCTATCTTTGATGGGAATGCTTCCAACGTTTCACATTTATGTAAGTTTGCTGTACATTTTAGGAAGTGGAAATTCTCTTCAAATGTTATTTTGCTAAAACTTTCTTTACCATCAATTGGTGCTAAATATTTTTTAAAAGGCTTTTTATCCACCTCTAGACATGACCAAATGTGTTTTGTTCTCTAATCCATTAATGTAGAGAAATTCCAGCTGGAAATTTTTTCTAATATTTTAATATCTTTATAGTTACTGAACTTAGCCTGTTTATTCACTGCTATATTGGATATGCTATAAATTTATTTAGGATAGATGCCTCTCTGTGACAGAGCTTGGCTCAAGAGATTTTTTCTTTGGGTATCCCTATGTGGTCTTTGTATCAAGATCAGCAAACCTGTTAAAATGAGTTTAGTAATTTACTGTATTTTTGTATGATTTGCAAGAGTTTATGTAAGATGGCATTAGTTTTTCCCTAACTATTTGGTGCAACTAGATTCCAAATCTGACTGGTCCTGGAATATTTTGAGGGGGCTGGAATGTAGACTACAGTTTCAGTTTGTGTTATTTGACTGAAGTTCTCTGTTTCTGCTTGGAAAAATTTAGTTAATTATGTTTCTCCAGGAACTAATCCATTTAACCTGGATTTTAAAGTTTAAAAACATGTTTTATTTATTGTGGTAAAAAAAAAACATATAACATTTGATCTACTGTCTTAACAAAATTTTAAGTGTGTGTAATCCCACTCTTGGATATTTATGCAGAGGAATTAAATTCAAGATCTTGAAGAGGTATTTGCACCCCCATATTCATTGCAGTATTATTCATGATAGCCAAAAAGGGAAGCAACCTAAGGGTTTATCAGCAGATGAATGGGTAAAGAAAATGTGGTATAAATACATATTTATAATAAACATTTTCACTAAAGAAATTATTAAGGGTATAAAACAGTACAGAGAAGAGTACAATGAACAGTTGTATATTCCATAAATTTTTTTGAAGAACTGGCTTTAGTTGGCTTTACTATTTTCTATTTACTTATTTCTGCATTTATGCATATTATTTTTTAACTTCTACTTCTTTAGCATTTTTTATTAAATAATATTGACATACATGATTGTATGTCTTTCAGGTGTACAACATAGTGACTTGATATTTATACACATTACAGAATGGTCATCACAATAAATCTAGTTATCATCTGTCAACATACACAGTTGTTACAATATTATTGACTATATTCCTTATGCCATACATTAAATCCCCATGGCTTATTTGTTTTGTCACTGGAAGACTGTACCTCTTAATCACCTTCACCTACTTTACCCATCCCATCCACCCCTCTCCCCTCTGACAACCATCAGTTTATCTGTATCTATGGATCTGTTTGGGTTTTGCTTGGGTTTTTTTTTTTTTTTTTTTTTTTTTTGCTTGTTTGTTTGTTTTGTTTTTTAAGCCCCACATATAATTGGAATCATATGATATTTGTCTTTATCTGACTTATTTCACTTAGAGTAATACCCTCTAGGTCCATCCATGTGTCACAAATGGCAAGATTCTATTCTTTTTTATGGATATGTATATATCACATCTTCCTTACCCATTCATTTATCAATGGACACTTAGGTTTCTTCTGTATCTTGGCTATTGTAAATAATGCTGTGATGACATAGGAATGCATGTTTTTTTCAATTAGGATAGTCATTTTCTTTGGATAAATACCTAGAAGTGGGATTGCTGGATCATATGGTAGTTTAATTTTTGGACAAACCTCCATACTGTTTTTCATAGTGGCTGCACCATTTTATTTTCCCATCAACAGTGCATGAGGGTTCTCTCTTCTCCACATTGTCACCAACAGTTGCTATTCCTAGTCTTTTTGATTCTAGCTATTCTCACAGGTGTAAATTGATATCTCGTTGTGGTTTTGATTTACGTTCCCCTAATGATTAA